AAAAAAAAAAAAAAAGATGTGAGATGTGGCGGTGGCTTCCAATTTGGCTCAAAGGTTTTAACTTCTGAGTAAACCCAATCAGATGGGATAACAGAGCAAGGGTAACACAGTGGAGCTGAGAGCCTGGAGAGAGCGAGAGCACACAGAGAGATCACCAAGCCCTGTAACTCCCTTCTGAACTGTGTATTCCCTTTAATTGGTGAAGACTCAAAATAATGGCAATTAGAAAAAAAATAAATACTCAGATCTGCACTAAAACATTTAAAGTTTTTAAAATAGGAACATTCTACATTAGTATTACTGGCTTAACTTTTAGGTCTGAGAACCTCGCTAAAGAAATCTTAGGTACTTGGTATCAAAATCCCTTGGAGGAAGTAATAAAAATTTGTGATACAACTATGCTTTAATATGTGTTAATTTTTAAACACCAAATATACTTGGATAAAAAGTAAAATCTCAATTTAATTGGGTAATTCTTCCTGTATGTCTTATAAGTTAAAGGTCACAAGGGAAATACACAGAAATATAAGAAAACTATATCAATTTTAAATGTACAGATCGTCACTAGAGGACATATAAAACCTCAGAAAATAATTTAATGTATGGACACAGAGATGTTTTAACAGTTAAGAATTCATTTCAATTAAGCAAAACGGTCTACTTTGCGGTCATGTTCATAATGATAAATGTAGCCACAGAAGTTAGCTTACAAAGTACATAATTATTTACTTCACATAGAAAGGATAAAAGCAAAGAATCCATGTTAAGCTAAAAATGTGGATGGGAAAATTATAGCATTTAAAATTCTTAAGCTTATCTTTTTCCATCTGAAGAAAGTATTTCTCAGTAATTCAAAACCCATAATTGTACAATTTCTACATAGGTGGGGCTGTGAATGGGTAGACTAGGAGTCTATTGACTGGAAAACATAAAACAGTAGATAAATTAAAAGATTATATACACATCTGGGGACAAATTTGGCCTTGGTATGTTATTGTTTAAATATCACCATTTATCTATGTTCAATGCTGGGTCTAAATCAGTTGTGCATTTGAGACTTTAAACAATAAATTTAATTGCATACAAAACATCAAGAAGCAGATTTCAAATATAAAAGGGCATATACAAATGAATTTACAATTTCATTATGATGTGGGTTTTGTTCTGACAGAAAAACTCTGTGGGAAGCACTTCATATTGATAAAGTCTTCCCATGGATTCTAAAGGGGTTATTCTTTCCATTCATGTGTGTAAGGTCTGTTAATGTAATTGAGGGTCAGATGTCTCCGTCAAAAGAACAAAAAGTAATTATTCCTATAAAAGGAATATTTAAAATAGTAATACTGTCCTGCACTTTGGCATCAAGAGTATTGTCTGTGACCAAATCTAACCATGAAACACTATTGTAATCTGTGTTAAATGTAAGAAAAGTGATGAAACATAAAGATTTCCATAAAGCAAACACCCTCCTGCCTTATAAGGTGCCTCATCAGTAGTTAGATTTGGTTATTATAATGTAAACCAAATCATATTTTACATCTACACACTAAGTCTCACTGACTTACTCAACAAACATTGACTATGGGCAATCACTGGGTTAGGTACTAAGGATGTAACTGTGGTAACAGAGTCCTGCTTTCATACATCTGACACATCTGGTCAGGAAAACACACACACACACAAAGACTAAATACCTCATGTGGTGATAAATGTCATGATAAAAGCCAAAGCAGGATAAGCAGGAAACAGGAATGGTGCTGGGCCTTATTTTACATACTGTGGCCGGATGTGGCCGAGCTCTCTGAGAAGATGATATATCTAATTATATTTCAAACTCAGCACTGGCAAGTTTTCTTGATGATTGGAATGTAAGATACAATAATAAATTGTTAATAAATAACTTTTCATTCAAAAAATAGTAGAATGAAACATCCATTTTTTTTTAATAAAAAAGACTAGAGAAAGAACAGTTTTGTGGGAAAAAATGTTTTGTTTTGGACACGCTAAGTTTGAGAGACACATTCACTAATGAAATGGAAATGTTAAGGAAGCAGCCAACCCTACAGGTCTAAGGCAGAAGTATGCTTATCTAGAAGTAGTGCTTAAAATCTGTGGAATTAGAAACAATCATGTAGGAAATAAGTGTAAGTAGGGAAAATATCCAATGACCAAGTATATATTTGATTCCTCTGTAATTTATAATGCAAACAAAAAAAACTCTATAGAATAAAAAAATTTTTTTCACATAAAATTATTGTCCAAAATAAAGTCTCGTTTTAAAAGAGAATATAAAGATAATACACTAAACTGATGTATACATAAATTTATCTATTATTCTATACAAATGACATGAAATCGTATGATTCAAATTATAATTATTGCATCTTTATATCTGTAGAGTTCTGTGCTGAGACAAAGTATTATATAAAGTCTGGAATGACAAAGACAGAAAAGAATTTGTAATGTTTAATACTATTTTTACTTTAATATCAGATGCTAATAGTATGAAGGGACCTCAAAAAGACAAAAGCTTTTTCAAGTAGAACTGTAATTGACAATCAAAGAAATCATTTTGTTCGCAAACATTGATTTGTTGCTTTATTTCCATGAAATTACTGCCAAGATATACTTTTATCTTTACTACAACATTGGACCAGCAGATGTCACCAATAAACAGTTCTTGGAAGAATGTACTGACTTTCAATGTGATTTCATTATCAAGCATTTTGTTGAATGCTTTTTTCTTAAAGCATATGTGGGCATTTAAAATGCCAATTCAGCTAAACTGCTTTAAATTCCCTAGGTAAATATTATTATATTAACATTTACAGACAAGTGATGTTCCTGTTTCTATTATCTACTATTTTATATTTATAAAATCTTTATAAACACCCTATCATGTGCCACAAAAATTTTTGATTATATAAACATGCTGCTTCATTGTGGTTTCCAACAAATTGAACAATGAGATCTACTTTGATAACTAATATTTTTTTGTTAACTCGGATTTCAGTCACAGGGTAAATATAATGCATAAAAATGGACAAAAAAAGATTTATTCCTTAAATATCGTGAAAATATTTTATCAAGGTAGAGCTAAGTGCAGTTAAAAGACCCTTGCTATTTAGAACCTCACTGGTGGCACAAGGGTTAAAGTCTCAACTTTATCAAGCTATCACTAGGCACTGCAGTATCAGTTCTACCTTCAGCCAGAGGTGACCCACATAGTGCAGCAGACTTCACCTGTCCTGCCTACTGCTCCCCTTAGCAGTGTATTTCAGTAGATATACCTTTTCCACACTCCATTCTGTCTCTGGTGAATTCTCTCACCCCTGTATTTCTGGTCTACACCTCAGTTCTTCTATGTATAAGTAAATAAATAAATATATTTTTAAAAAGACTCTTACTATGAATGATATAAATGCAAGCCATAATTTCCCTACCAATCTGGAATAAATCACTTAACTTTATGACTGACCTACACTGTACTAAAAAAGTGACAGGAAATAAATGACTTTCATAATTATCTGATTAAATAATTTCTAATTCTAAAATTTGACCATATAATTTAATTTTTTAATTCTAGTACTAACATTATACATCATAATGGAAAAATATTAGAAGCCATTGATATTACATAAAAAAGAAATGACCTCACAAACTTTGAGAATGAAAAAACATAAAAATAAAATTTTGATTTGTGGTGAGATTGCTGGTTGCTATTAATATTAAATTTGCTTATTTTATTCAGTTTTCTTAAGGTTAGGATTTTATCTTGTATGACTGTAAAAGCTAGAACTGCCATTCTATGTTGACAAGTAGTAGTGAAATTTGAAGTCCTTTCTTGTACCAGGTCTTACAGGGAAAGTTGTCTTTTACCATTGAGTATGGTATTAGCAATAGATTTGTATGTTCTAGCCTCCTCTGGCTTTTGGGTTTTGTTTTTCATAAATTGATGTTTAATCTTATCAAATGCTTTCTCTGTATCCACTGATATAACCATATGAACATTATCTTCCATTTGTGCATATGACAAATTACATTGATCGATTTTCAGGTGCTGAATCATTCTCGTGTCCATGGACTATCTCCCACTGGTCATGATGTATTGATCCCTTTAATGTATTGTCCAATTCAGTTTGCTACAGTTTTGTACATTACATCCACCAGGGATATTGGTCTGTAGTTTTATTTTTTTATGAGTATGTTCTTAACTTTTGCCATCAGAATGATGTTGGCCATATGAAGTGTGTTTAGGGGCATTCACCTGCTGTCAATTTTTTAGAAGAATTTGAAAAGAATAGGTATTAGTTTCTTTTTGAAACTACCTGTAAAACCACCAGATCCAGAACATTTGTTTTTATTTTGTGGGGACACTTTTCAATTTTAGCTTGTTTATGGTCTGTTCAAGTTTTTGTTTCTTCCTGTCACAGTCTCAGAAATAAACCTATAAGAAATTGTCCATTCCTTAAATATTATTTGATTTATTGGCATATAAATGTTCACTGTAGTCTCATGATCCTCTGTATTTCTGTAATACCTGTTGTTATTTCTCCTTTCTCATCTCATATTCTATTCATTAGTTTTCTCCCT